TGTGGAGAAACGAGACAGGACAGGACCCCCAGAGGGGTCAGCCAGGGACACCGCAACCGGCCGACTAAGCGGCGTGAGAGTTGTGCGGTCCCAAAAGAAGGAGCGAGACGCCCCAGAGTCAAGGGTGAAGGTGTGGGAGGCAGAAGCCGACACAGTACCTGAGAGGGCAGACTCACTAGCACCTGAGAGCACAAACGCACTGGCACCTAGAGCAGCAGCCTCACTGGCACCTGACACAGCAGTACCAATGCCCGGGTCGGGCGGAAAGCACCGGTAACAGTCACCATCATCACTAACAATCACAGCATACATGGCAGCAAGGATAGCATCAAAGTCAAGATCAAACACAGCTACACCAGTCCTAGACAGCTCTCCCCAGCGGGGGATCTCAGAGGCCTCCGGAAACTGCTGGCGCCAAGCGTCGGTCAGGTGGGCAAAGCAGCGGCGAGCGGTGTGGGTGCCCCCATAGTGCTCACCCGCGCGGTCGCCGGTGCGAGGGACGTAGGTGCAGGGACCGAACGCCCCACCACGCTGATGCTGCGAGTACCACTCACGGAGCTGCTGAGGGGCGGGGACGTCGCGAGAGCGCTGCTGCTGCTGCTGCTGTTTCGCTGTGCTACCCGACTCTTCCTGCCCGGTGAGACTGTTAGCTGCTACAATGGCCACCCCCAGTGTCCTGACTTTTGACGCTGAGGGTCGCGCCATTGACTTTGCAGTCTGGATTGAGGACCTGCAGCTGTACTTACTGTGCGATGCGATCGATGAGGTTTCTCTCTTTGACTTTGTCTCTGGCGCTGTCCCTGCCCCTCCTGCTGATGCTGACCCCACTGTTCGCTCCAAGTGGGCCACACGCGATGCTGCTGCACGTCTTGCTGTGCGTCGCCACCTCCCTTCCTCCGAGCGTGCACACTTTAGTCAGTGCAAGACCGCTCAGGCCTTGTACGACGCTGTAGTTGCGCGCTACTCCTCCCCTTCCACTGCTACACTGAGCCGCCTCATGCTACCGTACCTCTTTCCTGACCTTGCTGCCTTTCCCACAGTCACTGACCTCTTTACCCACCTTCGCGCTAGTGACACTCGCTACCGAGCTGCGCTTCCTGCTGCCTTCCTGCCACTAAGGGAAGGGCGGCGCGACGGGCCGCTGGGGGCGACACAACGGGTCGCTAAAAAAAAAGGAAAATGCGCCTCGGGGCGCGCTTCGGTGGGCCCTAGAAGCAGTCCCTAGGAGGGAACCTACTCTGATTCCATGTGAAAAGAAAGAACGAGAATGATTGAACTATGAACGAGGTGAGTACAAATAGGAAACCCTAATTGGGTTGTACCCCCTATGGGATACCCCACTATAGCCTACACAAATAAGTAAGCTATAATGTTCTGACACAGAGCGCTGCTTCGGAGATTCTTCCGTGAGCTCGGAGGATGGCCTTTGTGGCGCGCCATTGAGGACCAAGGCCGCCGATGATGACTGTCATGAAGGCGTCTTCAGAAATCGACCCTCCGCATCGAAGAAGCTTGTCGCGCAACTCGCGACATCGACTGATATACGCCATTCCTTTCTCCCCTGCTTTCATTTCAACTGTTGTCAGTTGCGCCATTAACCGACTTTGACTTACGCTGTCTGTTGCTTGATACAGGCTCTTCAGGTGGTTGTATGCGAGCTCCGCGGAGTTGCCGTAACCTCGGTAAGTCCTTATGTTCTGCTGTTGAGTCGGGGTGATGTTCCTTAGTAGGATCGTATATGCCATCATTGTCTGATAGGTGTACTGCTGCTTCTTGTACTGTGTGCCGTTTGTTGGGTATGGGAGAGACTCGTCGAAGAACCCGAGTATCTGCGCGCCTTCCATCATCAGCTCGAACTCGAACGACCAGGTGAAGAAGTCATTTCCATCGAAGGGTCTTGGCGTCTGCATCTTCAGATAGTGAGCGAAATGCGACTGAACTTGCAATGCGTCCAGTGGTTTTTCTTGTCCAGGTGAGGGCTGTGGGTGTGGCATGAAGCTGATGGACCCGCGCTCGTACGGAGCGAAGGTAGGCTGCTGTTGTTGATTTCCTCGTGCATATGATGAGCCGTCGAGACTCATGGGTGTTGCTCCGTTGTTGTTGCTGTTGTGTGACTGCGCAGGTGTTGATTGCTGGTGTTGCTTGTAGAAGGACATGAAGGAGAAAAACTTCTCCATCATGCTCTGGTCGAAGTCTGCAGGTTGATTCGCGGGAGTCTCGGTAGATGTTCCTCTCGGTCTTGCTGCCGTGCCCTCCTCTGTCTGTAGGCCAGAGGCAGGAGGTGGAGTAGGAGTAGTTCCCTGGGAGCCGTTGGAGTTGCTCCTTTCTTTTTGTGTAGCCATGCTGATTGATACTATTGGTATAGAAGTTGAATTCCCCCTGATAGCTCTCATACCATGTTGGGCTGAAAAAAGCCCTTAGGATCTTTGCAGGGGTGAACTCTGGGTAGAGTTGGTGTAGTAGCGGAAGTGTTAATAAGGAGTTGTGAACCACCTTGCGCTAGTATGTGAGGGCAAAGTAAGTTGATTAAAACAAAGAGATAGAAGATTATATAAGAGTACAAGGAATACGAAGAGATACGGTTGTAACTGTTTTACTCGTTGCTGTTGCGGTTCGATACAGTGACGACTCGGGCAACTGCTCTGTAGCGAGTCAGTTGTGTGTCCTTGCTGTCGCGGTGTACTTGTCAGGTCAAAGGTCGCTGACCTTTGACTTTCGCGTAACCTCCAGCAGTTACTTCAACCTCCGAGGGTTGACTCGCTGGTGCCTCGATATGCTTTGCTTCGCTTGTGCCTTAGTGTTTCGACACGACAGAGGCGCTTAGGACCGATTGTTTCCAACAGTTATAATCCTGCCTTTGTATGGGTTTAGGGGCCCGTGCTAGGTAGAGTTTGAATGCTTGCCATCATCCAGCGCACTTGCATTGCATGTAGCAGGACAGATCTAGCTTGTCGTAGGATACATTCAGGGAGAGCCTGAAGTGAAGGGAAGTTGTACCGTATTTCCAACATTTCAACCCCGATATTTGCGTGTCATATTGGCTACTTAGTAACTAAAATTAAATGGAGAGAGAGAAAAAAAAGCTGCATTTCAGGATTGCAATTTAGTCAACATACTAAGGACCCACTAACGGATATGTTGGCACCCGGATACTTTGGGCATTTGTCAGAGGGAAGTACAAATGTGATAGGGCGGGTTCTTGAAGCGGTGACAGCAGGGACGGGGGCAGGAGGTGAGAGGCTGGGAGGAGGTTGATGAGAAACCTGCTGGGGGGTGGGGGTGGGGCAGGGCAGAGAAGGTGACAAGTAAGGGTACAGGAGAGAGGAGCGATGGGGAAATGGAGCAGTGAGTCTCGATGGCTAACGACCACACTCCTTTGAGAAAAACCCCCTTTGGTCTGAATTGAGAAAAACCCCCACAGGCTGGGAATGGGGCGCGACGAACAGTACGGAAGGGGAGGGAGAGTGGCAACGGCGCATTCGGTGTGTGCAGTTTTATTGAAGAAGGGTGAGTTCGAGATGGTAATAGCAATGGGGATGAAGGGACAGATGTGGTAATGGTAGGTGGGAAGATGGGAAGCTTATGGGGAAACATTACACAATGAATGTGTGAACCCACATGTCTTGGGAGATGTTGATGAAAATGTCGTCGGTATATATGAGTGGACCAAGATTACGACCGTAATAATCATTGAATAAGGGTGGGAGGTGGATGGGTTGTGGGAAATCTGGGAAAATATGAGGCATGAGAGTGGCGAACAATAGTGGTGCAACAATAACCTCAATCGTAGGCTGATCGCCTCCCCACTGCCTTTACTGCCACCGGTTGTGTAAGGGCTGAGGCTGCTGGCCCTCGTCCTGCTGCGCCGGCTCGCGCTGCAGGTGGTTGTGCTGGGGCAGGGGAGACAGATGTATCTGTTATCTCTGTTTGCTGCTATTGAAGTTGTGGTTGTGCTGACGCCGCGCCAAACGCACTCCAAGTCTGCATGGGCAGGGGGAATGACATGATAGTTGACGGATCACAGGGGAGCCGATGAGGGTTATGAAGTTATAGAGGGGGGGTTGGATGAAAAATGGCTAGGAAGGGAGGGGTTTAGGAGAATGTGAGTGAGGGTTTAGACGAGAATGTTGCATGTGTTTTAGGGGCTTCAAGTGTGAGTTGCCTCTACCATTGCGGGGGGGTAAACTAGTGTGTGTGCAATTACCTCGCTACAAAGAAGTGGTGAAGGATGGTGGTGGGATGAGGGGTTTAGAGATTTTTACCCACTATTTAGCGTGTGTTCTACCGGTAACCTCCGGTTTCGTTTGTTGACGTGGTATGCGGAATGGTAGCTTCGGTCCGCGACGAACGCCGAGAGAGGGCCGGCCACGCTTAGCATGGGTAGTTGGAGATGCCACCTATATAACAATTGCAGTAAAGGTGGCGTCATAAGCTTGTAATTCGGTGGGAATTGTTACTGGACGTTATGAGGAGTGAGGAGAGGGGGCATTTTGCGAATACAACGCGAACAAACTTACTCAGACAACGTCGCGTCCGTGGTCGCTCCAGTGGACGAGGGGGGTCGCTCCTCTCATGTAGCGGTGCAGGCGTGTCAGGCTCCAAACCCCTTGGGCGCTGGTGGTGCTCCCTGTACCACCAGGACGAGTAGGACTCGTCGGCTCCCCATCCGTCCCATCGTCTCCCTCCCCATTCAATGTTTTGAGCCACGATTCTATTATGCCATCAAGCTACGACCAATCCATTGCCCCTAGTGTCTGATCCTTGTTGCCCCGCTGAATCCGAGTGACCTGTCGTTGGCGCGTGCGATACGCGGTCACCAGCCGATCCATGGAGTTGTTCCAGTGTAGAGCAGCAAGCGCCACTCTTGCTTCAAAACTTCCCTGAAACCGAATCCTTTTTGGAGCGTACTTGAGAATGATCGAGTGAAAGGATTTGTTGATGGAACTAGACGCACCATGCACCAGCGATTTCACCTTGTCAGGCCCGCATCGCTTCGCAAGTCAATCCTGCACCGCCTTGTCAATCTCTGATCCTTTCTCGTAAATCGTTGTCTCGATGCCCCACCCCTCCGTCACGCAGCGAGATATGCGTCCCAATTGGCCACACCCCGAATGATCACCTGCCCAATGGTTGGCTGCAAGCCCCAGCTCTTCAGCCACCTCTTCAGGTGTCATCGTCTTTCCATCTGCCATTCGTGCAGCACACCTCATCATGACATAGTGAAAGTGCGATGCTAAGCGTGAAGCCACTGTCACTTCTTCATCGTCTGCGGTCTGGTCATCATCGTCGCGTTTTCGTTTCCAACGCCTCATCCACCGTGGTAGTGGTGCTGCCTCTGTTGCACATCCAGGTCTGTCTCCGTCTCCATCGCCACGATCACCAGCCCCTCCCACGAGCCCTGCAAATTAACATCAGTCAAGGTGGCTATCTCATCGCCCTGGTCGAACATGTGCAATAGTAAAAACAAAATCAGTCTCACACACTCACACACACACACACACACACACACACACACACACACACACACACACACACACACACACACACGCACAAGCTCTTAGCCGCAAACTCACTTGCACAATCGGCGTGGGAGGTCCAAGGGGTGCTTCCTTCAATGAGATCGGAGTGCACGCCCTCTCCCGTGTGCGCATGCACCACAAGAGAAGAGGCGAGTGATGATGGCCGGGCTCCGTTAAAGGGGTGTGGATCATACTCCCAGAGCTCGACGACATCTCCCCACTGGACCTCCACCGGCACTCCTCCGGACTCCGTCTCCTCGTCCACATGCCCATTTGTCTCCGCCACCCTCGGATCGTGTGCTGGACAAGCAGGTTGTGCATTCGGCGCCTCTCCGTACCCCACTGGAACATCAACCACTACGCCACTGCCCCCAACCCGTCGCACTTTCCGCAAATCTGGATGCTTCCACTTTGCATCGTCCTGTGTCATCTTCACGTAGGGGAAAGCTCTCATCGCTTTGCACACTGACTCCACCAAGCTGTCCTTCAGCGTCGCTTTGCTCTCTTTGTGAAGCCCTTTTTTTTCCAGCCAGAGCTTCAGCCCCTCGACCGTAGCAAGCCATAAATCTTCGATCCTACTGGCCTTGTCCAGCGACACAGGTGCACGTACCGCGTCCTGTAATTCCTTCCAAAATAAGTTATACAGCGTCTTCTTCACATGCCACGTGTCTACCTGATGATTCAAATTATGGTCGGCAGCACCTCCTTTGAACCTGGTTTCCTGATCTGAAACAATCCCCTTCACCACGAAACCCTCCGCCGCTAGTTCGTTGAATCCCTTGTCAAACGCGATTCTCTCCAACTTGACGGAAGAGGGATCATCGACATGTTTCCGTGTTGTTGAGTAGTACAGTATTTTCCGTGTTGCATCAACCATAAAAGATACTGTACACCACTCCTCCTCTCTCACATGAGACCATCGTCTGTCCACCATGACAAATTCCATTGGAGTCCCGCGTTTCTGCATCTCAGTCCGCACCTCCCGCATTGATCTATCCGCTTCATCTATAATCGCTTTCCACAGGCCTTTATCCACGCTTTCCACAGGCCTTTATCCTCGCTAAGATGCTTATAAAATGTGGCTTTGGCTGGGGAAGGGATGCCAAAGGTGCGACAAAACTCCCACATTTGCTGATATCCTAATCCCCCCAAGGCAAAAGCTGCCATGAATTTAGCCTGAAGAAATGGGTGGACGTGCTCCACCAGTGGCTCGTTTTTTCTCGATGGCTCTACTTTTGCATGACCAGAACTCGATCGCATGTGAACATGCGTTACAGTGCCAAAGTAGCCCTATCGATGCCCATGAAAATCGCCATGACCTCAATGTCATCTCCCCGTCGCACCCTGCCTTGTGCGAACAGACAAGGCGACATCCACGGAAGAAACCCACCAAGTTTCGTGGCTCGACCAAACATACCCGCTTTTCAGGCATCGCGTCGACTTGTGGAGTGGCAGGCCAATACCTCGGGACTAGACGTGGGGCCACTGTGTGCTGTTGATGTGAAGAATGAGGAATGAATGAACTAGCAAGCAGGTGGGTACAAGTAGGAAAACCTAGAAGTGTTGTACCCCATATAGTCTACCCCACTACAGCCTACACAGACTATAGTACAAGAGCTTGACACACCCTCATAGGCAAAGTGGGGGAGAACAAGAGGTCACAAGACCAGTCAAGCAAAGCAAAGCAAGCTCAAGGTGGATCACAACGTCACCACATAGTCCGAGCAAAAGAGCAAGGCCATAAGGCCAGTTCACATGCAAGATCAGATATATATAGGTAGACAAGCAAGTGCAGGTATAAAAAGATCACAGTACAAGCAATGTCAAGAAGTGAGCAAGTGAGGCCAAGTAGGCACAAGACCTAGCAACGTACAAAAGCGCTGATGATCACAAGGCGGAAGTGCCTTGGAAAAGATATCAGCAGTGTTGGCCTCAGAGGCCACGTAAGCAAGGCGCAGCTGACCACGCTGCTGCAGCTCACGAGCAAGGAAGTAGCGAAGAGCAATGTACTTCGTTCTGTGCTCCAGTCTGTGCTCCCAACACAAGGCCAGCATGGCCTTGTTGTCTACGTACAGAACTGGAGGAGAACGAGGCGGCTCTCCTAGGTCAGTCCGCAGGTAGGTGAGCCAGCGTAGCTCTTGTGCAGCCATGGCCCCCGCGTAGATCTCAGCCTCACAGCTGGAGCCAAGAACAGAAGACGAGCGGGTAGACCGCCACGAAACAGAGCCAAAGCCAAGGCTGAAGGTGTAACCCTGTGACGACCGCTGCGTAGCCTGGTCGTCAGCCCAAGAAGCGTCTGCGTGACCTGTGAGGACCACTCAACGTCGCTCTCCAAGCACTAGCCCCATGCCCGACGTACTGCACAAGTAGCGCAACACCCTCTTTGCTGCAGCCATGTGCTCTGGTCGGTGTCTCTCAGGAGCAACATAGCGTGCCAAGATGCTAAGAGGGTATGCAAGGTCGGAGACGGAATGATGCTCGTCTCTGCAACCGGAATGGTGCTCGTTCGGGCGACATACTCCGGGCGTGTCCTCTGCACCGACCTGCGTCCCTGCTCAACGAGGTTGACGTCGCCCACGACGGAGGTTGTGGCCCTGCGGGCGATCGTCTCGAAAACGAAGTCGATGCTGGACAGGATGCATGCTAGACTTGCGCACGTCGGCATGGACACCATCAGGAGCTCGGCGAAGAACGAGGTCGCCATTGGGCTGGACCTCAAGTCGGCGGCGGGCGCCGACTCACCGTGTGTCTCGTGCGTCGGCGGGAAGCTGGCGCGGCATACCTTCCCCGACCAAGGCTCCGACGCCGACGACGTGCTGGCCGTCGTGCACATCGACCTGTGCGGGCCGTTCCGCGTGGCTGCCAAGGATGGCAGCCTGTACTTCTTGTTGCTGAAGGACCGCAAGACCTGCTACGTGTGGGTGAAGCCGGTCACCAAGAAGTCAGATGCGTTGCCGGTGTTCGTGCAGTGGCTGGCGGTGGCTGAGCGGCAGACGAAGAAGTCGGTGTTGATGCTGCGCTCTGACCGGGGAGGGGAGTTTCTCGGGAAGCAGTTCACCGACTTCGTGAACGGCAAGGGGATCGTCCACGACCTGACCTGCCCATACACCCCGCAGCAGAACGGCATGGCGGAGCGGGAGATGAGGACGGTGGTGGAGTCGGTGCGGACAATGCTGCTGCACAGGGGCGTGCAGCACCACTGGTGGTACCTCGCTCTCCGGCAGGCCGTCTGGGTCCGCAATTGCCTTGAGAGGTCGGCGCTGCCGTCGGGGACGACGCCGTACCAGCTGCTGACCGGGAAGAAGCCCGACTTGTCGCTGGCGCGGGTGTGGGGCTGCATGGCGCAGTTCTTAGTCCCCGAGCAGTAGCGTGGTGGGAAGCTGCAGCCGAAGGCCAGGTGGGGCCTGCACCTTGGCGTGTCGGCGGCGAGCAAGGGCTGGGAGCTCCTCGACGTCGACACCGACCGGGTGGTCACCACATCAGACGTGGTGTTCTACGAGGAGATGTCGCTGGCCGAGTGGTAGACGGAGCACGGGTCGGTGTCCGGCCGCTCGTCGCCCACCCCGCCCTCTGACACCTCGTCGGCAACGCTGCCACTGCTTGCCGAGGTCGGTGAGCTTGCTACTGAGGACGTCGAGGACGTCCGCCCCCCTACCCCTCCCCCTCCGACCCCTGCCCCTCCCCTCGTGGCCGACCTGCGTGGGCTGACCTCGGTTTCGGCCTCCGGCGATGAGGGGAGTAGTGGGACGTCGCTTTCGGCCAAGTGCATCGCCGGTGGCTGACGTGACGAGCGACAGGTCCACGTGGGATTGCAGTCGACGTCGACAGGGGAGGAGCAGGTCGAGAAGCAGGTCGAGGACCAGCGGCCGACAAAGGAGCAGGCAGCAGTGACGCCGACCAAGGAGCAGTCGGCGACCGGGCAGTCGGCAGGGGAGCCGACCACAGGGGAGAAGTCGGCTGGGACGCTGACCACAGGGGAGAAGTCGGCTGGGACGCCGGCTGAGGAGTAGCAGGACGCCGAGGGCAGCGACAACAGCGACAATGGAGGGGACGCCGAGGAGGTCCAGCCAGGACCACGGCGTTTAGGCCGACTTCGGAGGCCGCCTGACTTCTTCGTCCCCGCTGCCTTCACCACGGTGTACGACGTGGACGACCAGGCCGACGACCTGCTGTACGACGACGCCGAGGAGGATGAGGAGTTTCCAGAGCTCGACCCCGACATGCTAGCCGACCCCGAGCACCGTTGGGACATCTCGACGATGACGGTGAAGGAGGCATTGGCGAGCTGGAAGGGCCCGGCGGTGAAGGCCGCCATGGAGGAGGAGATTCGCAGCCTCCTCAACATGGGAACGTGGGAGCAGGTCGAACGCCCGCCGGGAGTGAACGTCATGAAGAACCGGTGGGTGTTGACGACGAAGTACCATGTCGACGACACCGTCGAGCGCGAGAAGGCGAGGCTGGTCGTGAAGGGCTTCACGCAGGTGTACGGCGCCGACTACGACGAGACGTTCGCGCCGGTGGGCAGCTACGTCACGCTGAGGATCTTCCTCAGCATCGTCGCCGTCCTCGACCTTAACCTGATGCAGCTCGACATGAAGAACGCCTTCCTGCAGAGCAACCTCGATCGGGTGCTGTACATGTCCCAGCCAGGCTACTTCAACGACGGAACCGGCCGGGTGTGCAAACTGCTGAAGAGCCTGTACGGGCTGAAGCAGTCGCCGCTGTTGTGGTACTTGGCGCTCAACGATGTGCTGGTTGGCGCCGGGTGGAAGAAGAGCCAGTTCGACGAGGCTCTCTACTTCAAGGTCGGAAAGGACGGAGTGGTCTGCTGGGTACTGGTCTACGTCGACGACCTGCTTGCCGCCAGCAGCAGCACCAAGATGCTGAAGGAGCTGAAGGAGCTGCTGGAGTCCGCCTTCGAGCTCCGTGAGATCTCGCCGGTGCAGAAGTACCTCGGGCTGGAGATCGTGCGCGACAGGTCGGTGGAGAAGCTGTGGCTGCACCAGCAGGGCTACGCTGACAAGCTGCGTAGGCGCTTCCTCGACGAGGAGCAGACCGGGCGCACCCCGAAGACGCCGGTCTCGGTCGACGCCTACGCCGAGCTCACCTTCGACGACGAGGAGGCGCAGGAACGCCAGGAAGAGGAGTACCGGCAGAAGGTCGGCTCGTTGCAGTTCGCGGCGACAACGACGAGGCCGGACATCGCCTTTGCCTGCAGCAAGCTGGGGAGCGGCCTCACGGTGAGGAGCGACCAGCACTGGCGCGAGGTTGACCGCTGCCTCGCCTACCTCGCCAACACGCGTGACACCGCCCTGGAGTTTGGCGGTGGACCTGAGCCGCTGGAGTTGGTCGGCTACGTGGACGCCGATGACGCCCGTGACAAGCAGAACAGGACAAGCACGGGCGGCTACGTGTTCGTCTACGGAGGGGCCGCAGTCTACTGGTCGAGCCAGC